GTTCCAAGAATTTTTCTACAGGAGCCATGTATGTCACTGAAGAACACAACGAGAAGAGAGAAAAGAAAGGGCAGCAGAGATGGAATAACAGAATCAGCCTTTCAGCAAGCTTGCCTGAAGATGTTTGTGGTGTTTTTGCAGGTAGTGTGTGTGTGGTCAAGCACAGTAAAGACCCGATTTTTGATATAAGAGAATCGATACGGGAGATGATTCAGTCCGAGGGAGTTTGTGATTGGAATGATATGGAGGAGTTAGTTTACTGTTACATTGCTCTTAACTTATCAGAAGTTCATGAAATTATTAGAGATGCTTTCCTTAGTTTATGTACTAATTAATTTTATTTTGTTGTACGTTGAATCCTTATATAATGTTTTGAGATGCATAAATAGTTTAAGAATACAAAGTCCTACATCAGATAACTGACAAGATAAATTATGATATATAATGAATTATTCGACTTTTAATGGCGTCAGATGCCCGTCTCTCTTGAATCTTGACATAAATTTAGTTTACTAACCATTTTATTTAAAATTAGTTATAGGAATCGATCTCATTTGAAACAGAATCCTGATATCCCTAGGCTTTTTCTTCTGTGTTTATCACCACTTCCTTCAGCATCTATCAACGCCACCTCCGTGATAGTGAACTGGTCAACAGCTGTCAACTGTGACCCTGTGGCGGCCGGCTCATCGTTTGTTTTTGCCGGTTCTGGCTGAACTTGTGAGTCTGGCAAAGCTGAGGCTTTCCTCTCGTTTCTTTTACCCCACAAAAATGAGTACAGCCCAACTATGATCATAACCATCCCCAACAAGCTGCATAATTTTGAGTTCAAGCAAAGTATTTGATTGACATTTTTGGCGTAATGAAACAAAATTTTGACATACAAAAAATACTTAACAAACCATATGAACCATACGTTCCGGTTCTGATCTCTTCGCCGAGTATGAGAGCTGACGATAAGGCAACCAAAATTAGAGACAATGGGTTGAAGATGGGAGGATACAGAGGTCCTTGGACTGAGATGGCCCATGAAAGTAAGCAGAATGTTGCAGCTGTGTTTAGTGCTCCCTATGCAATTTAATTTGCTTCGTTTAGTATGCAGCTAGCCTACAACTTATCCTATATTTCAACCAAGATAACAAACCAATGCAGCTTACCGAATAAATTATAGTACCGAGTTGCAAATTCCACCCTAACCGCCATGAAGCTGCCCGTCTGTCCATACATAAGCCTATGACTGTTGATTGCACGGCTGCCATGAGGCACATTAACATTGTTGCCCAGTATTTCAGAGGGAATAATTTCAGAAACTTAGCCTGTTGAGAACGATACAAATATCAAACAGGTTTACAATATCGCTAATCACTGTGACAAAAAAAAGAACTTAGTGTCAATTTCGAATACATACTTGGACTATGAACCACGCAGAATAGGACAGGCAGCTACCTGCGAGCATGAAAGTGCCTCGAGTCCAATGAGCATCAGATGTATTTACAGTGTATCGATGAGGGCGATTACTGTGCTGGCACATATAAAACGCCTTTCCCTTGTGAAGGCTCGCAGTAATGGCCCCTCCCACGCATACAATTACCCCAAAAGTCTTGATCTTGCCCGCCCTAGTTTGCAGGTTCAGTTTCTCTATGCTACAACCATTCAAACATAAAAATAGAAATATCTTTTTAAACACATTGCTAACAAAAAAGGGGCACACGGAAATAACTTAGGTTATGGAGTTTCCATCACAATATGTAGATATCTACCGGGTTACGATGGAAAGCACGAAAGTAGCTACCGGAATTAAGTTGAGGAAGTTGGTGGCATATGCAGGCGCGGTGTCCCGAAGGCCGTAGTAATACAATCCCATTGGTATTGTGATACTGCAGTTTGATCAATACATATGAAGAAGTAGTCTACTTTTGTGCAATTTACATTTTGTTGTGATTTGGTTCTTTGGCCATACTTCTAAGGAATGCATTTAATCTTTGAATTTCCACTTTTCAAGTGATTTAAAATAACAAATACCAAACTCTAAGCAAAATCAAACAATACCAAACAAGGCTTACCCAGTTAAGGCATTGACAAAGAGCCAGAACCTAACACACCAACCTAACTTTTTTTCTTTCTTTCTGCAAAAAAATGCCACAAAAAACACTCAGAATATGCAAAGAAAAAGACACGAGAAATCACAGGAAGAATGTGAGCTAGCAAAGAACAAAAACCTTTCAAGAAAGAAGGCGAAAGGGGCGACACAAATGGCGGCAAAGATGTGCCGGTACACGATGAGTGCCAAAATGAAGGTTCCTTCACTCAGTGTAACTTTGGAAAGCAATTGCATCCCTGTCACAAATATCTGCACCATCAACATGGCCAACACTAGCTGTGACCACTTGAACCATTTTTTCACAAACCCCATTTCCGTGCCCGTCTCTCTAGTCTCTTGATAGCTCTCTCGTTTTTAGAAGGCGATAAGTCAGACACGCGGCCTTACCAACTGGCCAATACCTTGACAGCTCTCAATATATCTGATGGTGTCGAACTAGGGTGCAAAAGGCCGAAAATACTGCCCGGTATATATAACTAGATCATAAACTACAAAATAGAATGACATATATATTATGAAGTATTGAAACATAATGAAAACGTGGGGAACAAGGATATAATGTGTGTTCATTTAAGTATGTAACAAGTCTCTTACAATTTATTGAAAAAATAAAATCCAAGATGAAAGTGATCTATTTTCTATCTAAGTGAGTCGTGACCTAGACGGGTTTGTAGACGGTCTAGGCAGGCGCCTCAGCAGGTCAATAAGTCATTTCTTAATTTTCAAACTCTTAGACATTAATCACAGCGGTGGCCAACCAACTAGCGCTTAGACGGGACCTAGGCTGCACTAGACCGAAATTTTTAAAATAGTGCCTAAACCTAATTAACTCTATGTATGTGATGGATCAAATTAAGGTGCAAATGACTGGATAGACTACCTTGATCAACTGGTCTCAATGACTCACTTTGTATTTGATTGATGATATCAATATATGGAGAGAAGAATCAAACGACAATGCATTAAGTGAGATTATGATTGACTATTTGTATGGTGCGATGATTGCCAAAACACATTGAACGAGAGAAAGAACAAAAGAAATGAATGGAAATGCACATAGGAAATGGAAATCGAATTAGGTCGGTCTGTGTCCCTCACAGATGGGTACAGATGCCATATAGATATTCGTTGTTAGGAACCTCTCTGTGTCAGTCAGTCACAGCCAATGCTACTACGCTCTCAGCCTTTGTACGTCGATGGCTCTTATCAGTGCCCTGCCCTTTTCTGTCACTCTGTGCTGTTAATCACGCAACAAGAATATCGAATACCAAACTATGATAAAACATATCAGTTTTAATGCTTAATCAATAAATCCGACACTTCTCGAGAAGAACTATGCAACTAAGACACGTGACGTTGCTTTTTAGTTGGTCACACGTTATTATGCGGGAAAGTTCAAACACATTGCATAGAGCTAAGGCTATTATGAGATATCGTCCAGGTAGTTTTTTTTTGAAAATCAAAACATAACACCTGTATTCCTTATTTTCGTCTTTTAATCAATTTGAATTTGATAGAGAGTCCCTAAAAACTAAAGAAATACTTGGAAAAAAAGAACACAAAGAACCATATTCGTGCAAAACAAAAAAAATTTCACAAATTCAATCTCATAAGTTGGTTAGACTGCTAGATATCTTGGAAATTACATAATTAGTTTCGAGTGAATCACGAATGTCTCCTCATATGTGCAATTCTTAATTTCTTATATGAAATGATCCTTCTGGTTGGACCCCACTTAGAGTATATATTTAATCTGAGCCATTGGAAACTCTTCGATTTTCCAGAAGATTTTCGTATCATTTTTCTAGAACGGTGATATTTACACTCTCATTTTTTTAGCTCTAAATTCATTTTATTTTTGTTCCTTAATTCCTTTATAATTTATTTAATACGATGGAAAAAAAATTTGATATGCAGCTTAGTCCCTAAAACCTCTAATTTATTCACACAAACTCACTCACTAACTTTTCATGAACACTATTTTAATTCAATTCAAATGACACTATTTTACATAAAAACGATACCTTCAATGTTTTTGGCTATAAATTAATGGTGACGGTCAGTTTATGTAAAAAAAAATGACACATGTCATATGAAGAAGTGAAAATGTCTAAATACAAAAATTAGTGCCAACGTTATTAGGATTTCTCTTATTTAAATTTCTATCAATCAGATACATTGAGCTCTCGTTAAAGTTTTGATTGCGTTTCACAGAAAAACATGAAACTGCTAATGAATCAGGGAAGCATTGGTTCTTTTTCAAAAAAGTTTCAATAATTTTCTTTTTTCGCAAGTAAAAGTTTCGAGAAGCCAATCCCAAATAAGCCGTAAATAATTATACTATTTTGGAAGAGCCCAAAACCTTTACCGCTTGAACCTAATCAATCTACACACCAATTCTCTTGGGAATTTTAACGAAACACTCTCGGTATTGTTCACTTTTAACGAAAACGATATTTTTACTGTAAAAAGTCACTCCTGGTACTATTCACTTACAACACATTTTTGTCATTGATTAAAACTCAAAGTTTTCAAATCATTTTCATTAGTTTTCATTTTTCTTAACTTAACAGGCCCACCTTGTCGCCCTTGATCTATGGTGGCAGTTGTAGGGGCCACATTTGAACCCGGTTCTAGTGTCTTTCTCCATATCCCCTTCACTACTTTGTTTTTTTTATTGCTTTGGTGCTTGTTGGCCTCGGTGTAGGCTTTCTTGTACCTCTCTGGCATCTTTGCCCTAGTAATACATTTCCAGTTTCTAAAAAGAACTTGACAGGCCCAGCTTGTACTATAATTTAAAAATCAAGCCCAATTAGATATCACCTTCATTCTATGAGCTACGACCGGCCCGGCCCATACAAGAATAAGTCCTAGGGTTTAACATTCTTATTTATACATTTGACAGGTTAGGGTTTCCTGCCTCGCCCAAATCACACTCACACACGAACCGGAGCCGCATAGCGAGAGAGAGAGAGAGAGAGAGAGAGAGAGATAAACAACCGGAGCAGCGGAGATGAAGACCATCCTCTCTTCCGAGACCATGGACATCCCCGACGGTGTCAAGATCAAGGTCCACGCCAAGATGATCGAGGTCGAAGGTCCTCGCGGGAAGCTCATCCGCAACTTTAAGCACTTGAACTTGGACTTTCAGCTCGTCACCGACGAGGAGACCGGAAAGCGGAAGTTGAAGGTCGAGGCCTGGTTCGGCACCCGCAAAACCAGCGCCGCCATCCGCACCGCCCTCTCCCACGTCGGAAATCTCATCACCGGAGTCACCAAGGGGTACCGCTACAAGATGCGTTTCGTGTATGCTCATTTTCCCATCAATGCCTCCATCACTAATGAGGCCAAGGCGATCGAGATCCGTAACTTTTTGGGTGAAAAGAAGGTACCTTTTTGCACCCTTTTGCCAGATTTTAACTGGGTTTGATTTGTTTTTGTGGTTATTGGAGTTTGATTGTTTGTTGTGCATTTTGGGGTTTTATTTGCTCGATGATTTGTCGCAACTATTTGAATTGTGAAAGTTGATTTCGTATGTGAGATTTCATTACGATTTTAGGCTGAGATTTATGATTATTTTCCTGTTGATATTGTCGAATTGCACTAACTGTGGTGATAGTATGCTTTTTATTTTGAGTTTGAGTTTAGATTGGGCATGCTTGTCGTGATTACTTAATTTTTGTTCGACTGAATGCTGGTTGCGTGTTATGCATAAGGCAACATTAGATATTGTAGTCCTCACTGTCATTGGTGTAATTTAGTTCTTGAAGATGGCACATGTAATGTAGTCCCTGACTATAGCATATCGACATTTTCCATGGCAATCGACACCAAAAGAATGAATCTTTCCTATCGTTGTTGTAGAAATGTGTCCGTTTCTGGTTATTGCTTGATTCGTGTTTTATGCTAAGTCCACAGGGTAGTAGCCCGTATTCTTAATTTAGGTCCAATTAGGATTTTACCATTTACATTCATTTTTCTGCTAGACTTTGGTGATTTTCGCCCTCTTTGAATGCAATAAGGTGTTAGGCAATTATTTCATGGGAATATAAAGAGCCAAATGACATGGTTATGAGAAATGAAAAGTTTGTGTCTGATTGCAAGATCGCGGTTGTATATATTAATGAATATGTCATAGGTTAGGTTAAACTGTTTTTACCTTTTAAACATGAAACAACTTTTAGTATTTGGTAATGTTGTGCTTTCTAGTCTATTTGTCTTGATGATTTGTGTGCTTGCTCAATCAGGTGAGAAAGGTGGATATGCTTGATGGTGTTTCCATCACCCGATCTGAGAAGGTCAAGGATGAGCTGATCTTGGATGGAAATGATATCGAGCTTGTTTCTCGGTCTTGTGCCCTGATCAACCAGGTCCCCCCCTCTCTCCCAACTCTATTGATCTAGTTTTTATCTCTCCCTCTCTCTCTATGCAGACGCAATATTTATCATGTATAATGCTGTGCTCACTTGCTGATACCTTACCTATTGTATTTGTTTCGACAGAAATGCCATGTCAAGAACAAGGATATCAGGAAGTTTCTTGATGGTATCTATGTGAGCGAGAGGGGAACCATCCTTACAGATGAATGAAGTGTGTTTGTTTTGCGTACTTTCTGAATGTAGTTTAATTTCTTCATCGAATTGGCTAGTTATTCCTTTTGTTCGAGAGTTCATGTAGACGACTTTTATAAGTTTGGTTGAATTTGGATTCGATAATTTTGTGTTCAAAAGTAATATTTCATTAGGTTTTGGTTTTCTGTTGGACCTAAATATATTGGGTGATAACTTTTGTTCCTACTACTTAATTGTCATTAGCTATTTTGGATGTTCTGATATCCCCTTTTTGGTACTCCGACCCCTTCCTCGGTGCGCTATATTGAAGTCCAATGTGATGTACAAAGCATGAACTTATCGACGAGCTCACAGAACCGAGCCCTCTGCAAGTTCTCAATCACGGGACCTCTCCACATACACCACCCGACCATCTTCATTTGGTAAATTTAGGTTTGGTAAACTTATTGAATCTAAATTTTTGTCTTTGAAACTAATGAGTACTAATGGCCATCCGTCGAGAAGATCAGCTGTATTACAAGATTTGAAAGTCATTGATGAATTATTACCGACGATGTCTTACAGTTAAATTGAGAATGATTTACATAGAATGAGTTCTCAATTACTGTAGTATTCTATTTCAATTAAATTAGGGTTAGATCGAGACACCAAGTGATGATGAATCTGTTCCGTATAAGCAACTCTCCACGAAAGAATGTCCCAAAATCGAAATATTTGTCGGACTTCACCCTTCCTCTTGATGCCAAAAAAAAGAAAGCATGCACTAATTAGTTATGCCTAATCCTCTTGATGCCAAAAAACGAAAGCATGCCCTAATTAGTTATGCCTAATCAAAATATTTAGATGAATTATTGGTGCTATTATTTACTATACGTATATGCGCTGTGCACTAATTAGTTATGCCTCGTTGATGATATTTCGTTTGTTTTATTGCTGATATGGTTTGGCGGTCTACAACAACGCGACAAAGAACAAAAAAAGAATGGTGGCGTTACTCATCCATCTCATTTTATCTCACACGCTTCGTTAATTTTCGTCATTTGATTATTTTTTATTTATTGGATCTGATGACCGATGATTAAGAGGTATGCATAAGATAAAAAGAGAGTGTGAATAACACCACCCAAAAAGAAATGAAAGAAAAATTGGTGGATGTGGAAGGAAGTCTGAGTAGAGGGAAAAGAACATAATTAAGCACCGTGAATTAAGAAGTATAAAACAAATGAAGAAAAATTGGTGGCTGTAGAAGGAAGTCTGAATAGAGGGAAAAAAACATAATTAAGCACCGTGAATTAAGAAGTATGCAAAAGATAAAAAGAGAGTGCAAATAGCACCACCCAAAAACAAATGAAAGAAAAATTGGTGGCTGTGGAAGGAAGTCTGAGTAGAGGGAAAATAACATAACTAAGCACATCACATCCATGGACCCAAAAGCCATCTCCATCGTAGCTGCAAAATTCTAGATAGAAATGTCTCACCACGATCAAAAAATAATTTTGTTTTTTTTAATATTCTCATAGATCCACTTGATTAACTATCATAATATTTCTCCATTTAGCCAAAGACAACTCTAGAATTATATAGGTTAGTTCGGAATTGCAATTAAAATGATTACAAGTGCTTTTAGAAATTTTTTTTTTTTTTTGATTTCAAAAGCACTTAATGTACTTCTTACAAGAAGTATCAGTTATTTGTTTCTTACATGAAGCTCTAAAGTGTTTTTTCAAAATTCACTTTTATTTTTACTAAAAATTGGTTCCAAAAAAGTTTTCAGTCATTTTAAAAGTACTTTCAAATAAGTGTATTTATAGAATAAGATGTGATATATATATATATATATATAAATAAAATAGCTATCATAATCCCACCACCCATTGATTGCTGTAGATTAATTTGGTAGTTTAATAGATTAAGGCACAATTTCGAAATTTGAATTTATCTAACGATAATTATTGAGAATGATCATCACCGCAAAAATGCACCACGATGCGTCCTAATCAATTAGATTAACTTGTTTGCTTTTGTATCTTACCCGCATATTTGCCAGTATCCGTCAATGATCAATCAATAATTAAACGAATAAAAAAGCCACCCATGTAGGCCTCCAATGTCCTTACGTACTTATCACAATAAGTACCACTTCAAGCTTGTCCACCCAAATATTTCACTCACTTGTCTTCACTCTTTTAATAGAGACGTGCTCGACCGAAGATTCCAACTTCGTGAGACGATTTCCGGCGACGTTCTGCACGGAGGAAATTTGTTGGAATTCTTCTTCGCCGCCGCGGAAATGGGTTGCTGCACCTACAAGTACTACTTCTTGTGGTTGACATGCTTGGCTTATCTTGTTCTTGTTCAAGGTAGGGAGAAGAAGCACCATTTTAATGGACCTGTTGTTAACGTGACGAAGCATCTCAATTTCCAAGATTTTAACTTTGTCAAAAACCCCAGAGTTTTGGAAGATGTAAGGCTCCTAGGCAGTGCCAAAATCTCAAGCTCATCGTCAGCCATACAAATCCCCGATGATCATGATCAGTACTCCGACGTCAACGGCAGCGATGATATCCATCATCTAAGACAGCAAGCAGGCCGAGCCCTCTACTCCTCTCCCATCCGACTCCTCGACCCTCACACTCAATCGCCTGCTTCTTTTCAAACAACATTTTCTTTCCAATTCCACAACGGTTCCAATTTAAACGCTTCTGATCATGGTGGTAGTGGCCTCACCTTCATCATTGTCCCTGACGAGTTCACTGTCGGAAGGCCTGGCCCATGGCTCGCCATGCTTAACGACGCTTGCGAGGATGATTACAAGGCGGTTGCAGTCGAGTTTGACACCCGTCTCAACCCTGAATTCGGAGACCCGAATGACAACCATGTTGGAATCAACTTGGGAACAATTGTCTCCACCGAAACAATCAACGCATCCGACGTTGGTGTATTTCTCAACGACGGCTCAGTCCACCGAGCGTGGATTAGCTACGACGGTCCGAACCGTTGGATGGAAATTCGTTTGGGATCAGACGACGGTACTAATCACCCGCCACGAAAACCAATCTTCTCTGGCCCTCTTGATCTCTCACCATTTCTCAACGAGTACATGTTTGTCGGATTCTCTGCTTCAACAGGGAACCACACGCAAATCCACAGCGTCCTCTCGTGGAATTTCACCTCCACTAGTCAAGCTTTTCTCTGGATGCCGTCGATGGAAGCGTGCGAGAGTAACATAATTGTGACTGGCAGAGGAAGTAGTGCCGCGAGCGCTGAGCCTCGCGGCACTTTCTTAATCTTCATTGCTGTGGTGGTTTTGGCTCTGGCTGTGGTGGCTAGTCTGTACTACAGCGGCAGGCGCAAAACCGCCGGAATATCAGACACTCCTGTTGTGTTGCCGGAGAAGAAGCAGAGACCGAGGCCTCCGAACAAGCCTCGATACTTCACAATCTCCGAAATTTCCTTGGCCACTCAGTCCTTCAGCGAGTACGAAATTCTTGGTAGCAGCGAAAGAGGCGTGTACTATAGAGGGAAGCTTTTGAATGGTTGTCAGGTGGCTGTGAAGCGGTTTTCTTCTCTGTTTTTGAGCTCGGAAGGGCTAGATAGGCGGAGACTTTTCAAGGAAATAAAGGGGATTAGCCGGGTTAGGCATCCGAATCTGGTTCCAATCCGAGGGTGGTGTCAAGACAAGAAGGAAACCATGGTTGTGTATGAGTTTTTCCCAAATGGAAGCCTTGATAAATGGTTGTTTGGGGTGGGGGTGCTTCCGTGGACGCGGCGGTTCAAGGTTGTGAAAGATGTGGCTGACGCCCTCAGTTTCTTGCACTCCAAACAATTATCCCACAAGAACTTGAAGACAACTAGTGTCTTTCTTGACGTCAGTTTCCGGGCTGTTTTAGGCGATTTCGGGTTTGTGCTAAGTGGTGCAGAATCAAGAAGGTTTGAGTCCGCAGTAAGCCAAAGTGCGGATGTTTTCGAGTTTGGTCTGTTTGTGTTGGAAGTGGTCGGTGGGAGACGGCGATTGGAGGCGGATTCGGGGCCAGTAGAGGAGAGGGATCTGTTGGATTTTGCATGGAGAATGCATGAGATTGATGAGAGGGTGAGGGTACTGGATAAGAGGATGGGCACTGTGATAAATTTGGAGCAAGCAATTAGGGTTATGCAAATAGGGTTGCTCTGCACTGTGAATGTGACCAAAGGTAGGCCTTGTATGGAGGAAGTGGTGGAGTTTCTTTGCATGGAGAGACAAATCCCCGAGTTGCCACCCAGTCGGCCGGTTTCTCTCTTCCCTTACAGCAGCACCGGCGCCCTTTGCACCGGTTATTCCTGTGCTTCTTTCAAATGAAATTGGAAATGTGAAACCAATTTGCAATATTATGTGCTTCATTCCTGTATGCAGTCAATATGTTTTGTAAGGGACACACAATTGCAATTGGCGCAAAAGCGAGGGCAGTAGGCGTTCTAGGATTCATACAGCTAACCGTATTTAATGGGCTAAGACTTGGTTGTTGTTGTTATAATTGCTGGTCTATTAGTATGGATGTGAAAAGATGTGCTAATTAGATTTTGAGTTTGGAAGAGTTGAGCTGCGACGTGCAATCTCAACCAGTGCCAATAACCCATCTTGAGCAATAAGTTGGTAAGATGATACCGTAATTGGAGAGATATCGCTAGTGTAACAGTATATGATTGATTTAAGATATCATTAACGTTGTATCTTTTACTAGTCCTCTATTCCACCCCCCCTTCTTCCTCCTCCTTCGTTCCCCCACCCTTTAACAGTTACCGTCTTCCCCGCAAAGTTCTCAATCAATGCTCCAACACGTTTCATCGGCTCTCCACTTTCCCTGTTTTGATCATTAACAAGCATTCTATCACTATTTTTTTTTAACTTGTTCTCTATTGTTGCAGACTAGGTTTTGCTTGTTAATTTAAATTTTTTGCTGCAATCGGTTGTATTATATAATTATTGAAGTAACAAAGCTTAGTCCTCACGAAACTCTCGATCAACGCTCTTACACGATTTAGGCTTTGCTACAAGCGTTGATTGAGAGCTTCATGTGGAAGACCCGTCCAACGAAGCCAGCCTAATATTGATGATTAAACGAGGAGAAGTACTAATGGCACTCTCTTAAAAGTGAGATTTTTTATGAATTTTCTATCACATCCTATTTTAATGTTATTTCCGTATTAACAATATAAAATACTGTGTTAAAAACGTGAGATGACATAATATATAAAAAGTATCACGTTGAGAAAGTCCGGTAACATTTCTCTTAGACAAAACATAAGATTGGGATAAATCGTGTTGGTAATAGTAATACCGTTGGCCAAGCAAATTTTCAGGTAAATACCGCAATTAATTACATGTCAAAACGAAAAGTAAACAAAATAAAATGAGAAGAAAATAGCGGAATTGTTCTTGGAGAGCAAGAAAATAAGAAAGCTGGGAGAGAGTGGCTAGATTTGATTCTCCAACGGGACAACAAGGGCTTTATAAAACCCTTCGCCTTCGTCTTCGTCTTCGCCTTCGTCTTCGTCTTCGCCTCTGTAAAAGCCTCCATTCAAATTCTTCCGCCACTGAAATCCGCCCAAGAGATAAGAAGATGAGTATGTTCAAGCTCAATTCCCTCAACTCGCTGCGAGATCTGAGGCACCTCCACGCTTCCCAATCCGCCGGCGTCAGAGCGCTCACCACCTGCTCGTCATTAATCCTCAAACAGTCGAACCCACTTCTCTCCCCCTCTCCGTCGCCGTCTCCCTTCGCACCGTCGCACAATCTGCTCGCCATTCGGAACTACCGGAGCAGCCGCGATCTCAGGTAATTTGCTCTCCTGTGTGTATTGGGTTGGTGGGTTATTGGTAATCTGAAATGACTTGCAGATTTGATTTGGGGTTTGCGTTTTTGTGGTTTTTGAAATCATGGGTTCGTGGAGTTTGTGCGTCTGAGTGAGTTATTTCGGGTTGTATGTGTAGAAACTATGGGATTACGCCTCCCAAGAATTGGGGCATTCGGATTGTGCCTGAGAAGAAGGCCTTTGTGATTGAGCGGTTCGGAAAGTATGTCAAGACTCTGCCTTCTGGAATCCATTTCTTGATTCCGTTTGTGGATAGAATCGCTTATGTGCATTCACTGAAAGAAGAGGTCATCAATGTTCCTGACCAGTCTGCCATTACCAAAGACAATGTCGCCCTTATGATTGACTGGTGTGCTTTACGTTAGGGTAATATCACATTCTCGAATTGGGTTTGTGTGTATGTTTCTTTACTGGGTTCCTGAGAGCTTCTTTTCGATTATTTCTTGTGCGGGTGCAGATTGTGGATCCTATGCTGGCCTCCTATGGAGTTGACGATCCTATTAATGCAGCTATTCAGCTTGCACAGACTACCATGCGTATTGCTATCGGGAAAATCACCCTTGACAAGACATTTGAGGAAAGGGAATCCCTCAATGATGAGATTGTGGTATGTTTATCTCCTTTTTTTGCTTCTAATAACTGTAAAGATTAATACTCTGGAAATGAATCATTCTTCTTGTTTGGAGTAATAATTTTGGTTTGGTCTGTGACAAGAGTGTTTTGTCCTGTATTTTTATGATATTTCTGTGATAATTTTCTGGTAACAAGAAAATGTTTGATGGGTCATGGGGGTATGCCTTCACACTTGTCCTTTTAAATATTGTTTCAGCAGCTTTAATGAAACCTCATTTTCTTTGTAAGCTAACATTTTAGGTTAAGAAATAATATGAGTGGCATCATTTTGCAGACAGTTCTCAACAAGGCTGCGTCAGCTTGGGGGTTGGAGTGCCTCCGCTATGAAATCAGTAAGAGATCCCTTTGCTGGTTTTTCTTCTGATACTCTTTGTCATCTTCTTCAGAGATGTTTTCTAACTGCTTGACCGTTCATACTTGTTTAGAGGACATAACTCCTCCTCGTGCAGTGAGGGAATCTATGGAGATGCAAGCAGAAGCAGAACGCAAAAAGAGAGCTCAAATTCTTGAGTCTGAGGGTAAGGAACTCCATGTCTATTTGATATTTCAATTATACATGTCAGTGAAATGCTATAGTTAAGCCCAATGATTGCAAACAGATGATGGCATTCTCTTTTAATATCTGGATTTCCTTTACCGGAAGTATTTTCAGTCACTTTATAAAGTAGAAATATGCGCTGGCAGAGACTAATGTTTTCTAATCTTTTACAGGAGAAAGGCAGGCCAACATAAATATTGCAGACGGAAAGAAGAGTGCTATAATTTTAGCAGCAGAAGGTAGATACAGTTCTTTGAAATAATTCAGTCCCAGTAGTATACAATATTGTGGACTAATTTGATGTTCATAGTCCTTTAGTCACATAGATTTGACACAAACATTCTTCCACTGAATTCCCCATTCTCATTTTAAGGAGAAGCGCAATCCATTCTTGCTAAAGCGAATGCAACATCTCGAGGAATTTCCCTTGTGTCAAAGACTCTCAAGGAAAGTGGGGGTGCAGAGGTGAGGTTCTTCAATTCCCTTCATTGTGCTTCTTATGAAACCATCAATGCATTTGAATATTCAAGCTGGGATACTTCACCTTCAGCTACAAGTAGTGTTAATGTTTGTTAAAAGGTGTATAATTGGAAAATTCATTTTTCTTCTTGAGAAACTTTTGACATCTTAATGCAGCAATCGCAAAACAACAAACTTTCGTATGTATTACACATTCACATTCCCACCTTTGCAGACCATTCAGCCCTACATGACTGTTAGCAAGATATTTTGCATGTCCAACACATTACACTTGTCAGCCACTACAATGATTATACTGTTATTTTGCTTATGTCTCATCTAAAAATATGTGACATCATATGGTTTCCCCTCCTGCATCTTGTCAAATAGGCCTACTATTAGTTGGGAAGAATATTGCTAAACTCGGGCTCTTTATCTTAGTTATTGAAATTTTGGGGGAGATGATGCATTCTTTTTGCTAATACTTCATTCTGTTCAATCCGTTTGTTGTTCATTCTTATAAGGAAAAACTCTTGGCTCTTTAACTGCTCACTGTTTCTCCTTGTTCACTCTGATCTACTGTTTTTGCTCATCCCCGTAAAACTTTTCTGCATCGCCTCTTCTAGAGCCAAGAGTTTTTCCTTACAAGCAAGGGTCATGTGGTGCATAGATTTTAGAAACTCCCTGTTGCGTGCTTTGTATCTGTGGGAAAGCAACTAATATTAAGGTCTGATTTGCAGGCAGCTGCTTTGAAAATTGCTGAGCAGTATGTTGATGCCTTTGGTAATATCGCGAAACAGGTGAAAACCAAACCTTCTAACTTTGGTCAACATAGATGCTGCGTCTAGTGATTGCTTAATTGATTAATAAAGTATTCTGCCTTCTTTTTCCGTGAACGGTTTTGCAGGGCACAACAGTGTTGCTTCCTAGTGCTTCAAATAATCCTGCTGGCATGATATCTCAAGCCTTAAGTATCTACAAAAGCTTGGTTAACAATCCTTCCACCCTTGGATCAATTGGAGGCACGCACAGTGACGATGCTTCCTCAGAAGGATCTGATCACGGTGTTCGAATGATCGAGGAGACAAAGAATCAAGATAATGCGAAGGAATCAGGATTTTCGCTTCAGAACCGCAAAAAAGGAGCATAGAGTTTGACTTCTCTCGGTTGTTTGCCAATTCAACCAGCTACTGGGTTCTTTCACACTAGACATTTTTCATCGTAGGATGCTTCATTGTTGTTTTAGCCGGAAGGTACGACGTGTCCACTTAATATGAGCTGTGATTAACTAAAAGGGTGTCTAAATGTTTGCAATGAGAATGACAGATGCCAAATCATATAAGGGAACTGAAAATTTTTGGGTTGGAACTCATTATTTTGCATATTGTCCTTTCACCTAGTTTAGTGGTGAACGTTTAAGGTGGATCAGGTTTTCCTTTGGGCCATTGGGTTCCGGAGCCCCCCACACCCCTACTTTGTAGAGTTTCAAGATTGATTTGGACATGTGTTTCTTGCAAGAAAGCACTTAAAATATCTTTTTAAGATTCACTTGGATTTATACTAAAGATTGGTTTTAAAAATATTTTTACCAAAAACAATTCCAATCATTTCAAAAGCACTTTCAAACGAGTTTTTAATCACTCAAAGCGACACTTGAGTAGTTCTTGAGAGGGGCCTCGTGGGGGTCTGAGTGCCGCTTGAGGGCATTGAGAGGGCTCTAGCACTTTCAAACGAGTTTTAGATTTCGACTCAATACTTGATGTGTTTGTTTGATCTTGTCGTAGATTAGAATCTACTTCCAAACACTACGGTAGAAAATGGTGTTTAACATCACCATTTGGCATGTCTGTTTGCGTTTGAAGGTTATGTCGGATTGAGGTCACCTCTGGATCCTAGCTTGCAGAGCCAACTAACTAGACGATCTCAACCTTTCAATTTCATCTTGCCTTGTTTTGCGTGAACTTTTTTTATATATTTTAATTGATTCTTGTCTACAGGATAAAAAATAGATGAATGAGATCTTTTGGTCAGTTGACTCCGCAGACTGGGATCTAAAGGTGATCTCAGTCCGGTTATGTCAACAGCAAATTTAAATTTTTATGTGTCATATGCCAAACAAGTTCAAAACAACAAGCCACTCTTACTTTACAATTACTCCCTTAGGTTTGGGGAAAAAATACAATTATTCGATGGGTAAATACTAGGGAGATATTTGGTTTAAAAATTTAGTCTTCTTAGCATTATTTTTACTCAATTATATGGGCCTGCAAATTAGACATAAACGAAGTTTAATTAATTATTGAATCATTTGATGTTATGAAAAACAAGAGACAAGGATTATACGTTGCTGATGTGAGCTTAAGTTAGTTACGATATTGTTTTCGCTTTTTACCCAACTTCGAGTCGTGCTCCTAATAATAAAGAATACACCGCTTTTGTGAAAAGATTTTTCTGTATGTTGAGAACATAGTCTGGTATACTAAGTGTAATAATACAATTAGTCAAAAATTTTAAAAAAAAAAATTTATTACATTGACGTACCAAGCTTAGTTTCTATCACACTAAATTTTTTTTTGCTAATGTCTTTAATTTAGTAGCACTCGTACCGTCTAAGTTGTTTTTGTGCTCTTCATACTTTGTCTCTCTTTTCTTACACCGTGAATCAAGGAGAGTGTGGCATGGACATATGGTTTTTCCCACTTGGGAATTAAAAATACAGGATTCCTTTCCACCAATATAGGATTCTAACAAATGATACGGATTTCCTGAATTTAAATGAAATTCAAATTGAAGTAATATATTATTTTTTATGCATATTCAAATCCCGTCCCGCCGGGATTAAGGTTTTATAATCCGACCTTTCTCCCACACCGGGTTTGGTTTCTGAAAACCCAGAAAATGCCTCGACTCCAGAAATTGTCATTTGCTATGCACTTCGTCCAATCCCAGGGTCCTTGTCCGATTTGACCCATGCAAATAGTCCCGGACAAATATCATCCCGAGCTAAATCCATCTGCTAATCACAACCACATGTCAGTTCATCACACCATTTATCCGTAGTTTTATTGCTTTCCACTCTCCACTCAAATCCCGCTTCTAGTAAATTAGATTAATTTAGAATATCGCTCGAACAAAACAAAAAAAAAAAAAAACGATTTCCCAAATTCCATTTGGCTTTGGCATCCAAAAGCTAATAATGCCAAATGCTTCAACATCACTTGCTGCGTTTGCGTTTGATGGGTTTGTCAATGTCAGCAGCAAATTTAGACTTTTCTGTGAAGTATGCCAAACAAGTTGAAAACAACATAGCCACTCTTAATTTATTAAAATTTCTCCCTCGCGCTTGGGAAGGAATATACAATTACTTGATTATCTATGCCTGCATAATCATATTAGAAAAACCAAGTTTAATTAATTACTGAATTATTTGATGTTTTGGAAAATAGGAGATTATACATTGCAGACGTGAGTTTAAGTTGGTTAAGATATTGTTCCCGTTTTTTACCCAACTTCGAATCATGCTCTTAATAATAAATAATACATCGTTATTATGGAGAGATTTTTCAATTATCGGAAACATAACCTGATACACCAATAAAATAGAATTATACGTAATATTTTATCCGTACGTCTTTATTTCTTTAACGCTCACACCATCAGAGTTGTTTTGGATCTTCACACTTTTGTCTCTCTTTTCGTGGACCATGAATCAAGGACAGTTTGGCATTGACATATGCTCATATGCCCATTCCCACTTGGGAATTAAAATACAAGATTCTCTTCCACCCATAATCTAACGAACGATTAAAAATTTGAAACTGTGATTTTTTTATGCATATTCATATCCCGTCCCGTCGGGATTAAGGATTTATAATCCGACTTTTCTCAGCATCAGTCTCACACGCCCCGCTGGACTCTGAAAGCCCAGACAAAGCGTGGACTCCAGAAAATGTCATTTGTTATGCATTCTTTGTCCAATCCAAGAGTCCTTGTCCGTTTTGACCCTTGCAATTAGTCCCGGACTATTTCGTACCGAGCTAAATCCATCTGCTAACCACAACCACATATGTAAGTTCATCCTTTCTACTCTCCACTCAAATCCCGTAAATTAGATTAGTTTAGAATATTGCTCTTAAAAATCTCGGATCCCAATTCCATTTGGCGTTCAAAGGGAGGAACTTTGTAATCAAAATCACATAAAGTCGTAAAATTTATCATCTGGGATTCGATGGTTTCCGAAGGAGTGGAAGAATCGGGAGGCACGGAGGTGCCCCAGTCGAAATTCAGGTACAACTCGCCGTTTGTCCAAGTGAGTTTGATCGGATTGGTCTGTTTCTGCTGCCCTGGCATGTTCAACGCCCTCTCTGGCATGGGCGGCGGAGGCCAGGTCGATCCGACTGCCTCCAACAACGCCTCCACCGCCCTCTATACCACCTTCGCCGTCTTCGGCATCCTCGGTGGCGGCATCTACAATATCCTCGGCCCCCGCCTCACTCTCCTCTCCGCCTGCTCCACCTACGTCCTCTACGCCGGCTCTTTCCTCTACTACAACCACCACAAGCACCAGGCTTTCGCTATTGTCGCCGGAGCAATCCTCGGAATCGGCGCCGGCCTCCTCTGGGCCGGCCAAGGCGCCATCATGACGTCATACCCTCCCCCGAACCGAAAGGGGACATACATCTCGATTTTCTGGAGCATTTTCAACATGGGTGGCGTCATCGGTGGACTAATTCCCTTCATCCTTAATTACCACCGGAGCGAAGCGGCTTCCGTCAACGACGCAACTTACATTGGGTTCATGATTTTCATGTCCATTGGGACTCTTTTATCCCTCGGTATCCTGCCCCCCAGCAAAGTTGTCCGGGACGACGGGACTAAATGTACGGACATTCAGTACTCAAATGTTACGACTGAGGCCATTGAGATTGCCAAGCTGTTTACAAATTGGCAAATGCTTCTTATAATCCCGGCTGCTTGGTCGAGCAATTTTTTCTACACCTACCAGTTCAACAACGTCAATCAAATTATGTTTAATCTGAGGACTAGAGGATTGAACAATGTGTTCTACTGGGGAGCGCAAATGTTGGGGTCCGTCGGGATTGGATACGTTATGGATTTCAGCTTCAAGAGCAGGAGGATGAGGGGTTTCGCGGGCATTTCAGTGGTTGGTGTTCTCGGGACTACAATTTGGATTGGCGGATTTGTCAACCAGCTCAACTACTCTCGCAGTGATTTGCCTGAGAAGTTGGATTTTAAGGACTCCGGCTCTGCTTTCGCAGGACCCTTCGTGTTGTATTTTAGTTTTGGGCTGCTTGATGCCATGTTCCAGAGCATGGTTTACTGGGTCATTGGAGCCTTGGCTGATAACTCTGAAATTCTAAGCAGGTAACAGGATATTCCTTGCTTCTCAAGTTTTTAATTTCTCAATGATCTTCGTGCGTTTAGGCATTTTTTCGTGCGCAGGCATGGACAATCCTATCCAATTCTGCGCACGAAATGTGGCCTTAGTTACAGTCACAGAACAAAGTGTGATGCTAAAAACTCATAATTTTGTGCGTGTTTTGTACAGGTATGTTGGATTCTACAAGGGAATACAGAGTGCAGGGGCAGCAGTTGCTTGGCAAGTCGACACGCGCAAGGCATCCTTCCTCTCCCAATTGGTTACCAATTTCGCGCTCAACACCGTGAGTTATCCGCTGCTCGTGGTTCTGATCTTGCTGGCCGTGAAGGATGAAGGTAAGGCTGATGTGGAGGAATTTACCAAGGAGAAGGTTGCTGAGACTGTAGCCTCAGAGAAGTGATCATGATGATTTAATTAGCAGATCAAATTAGTCATAAGCCATCCGAATATTTGTTTTAATTACACGTTCATACAATCGACTCTTCACAAATTAGTGTATCATGTTCAAATTGTCAAGTATTTTACTGAGTTATCAAAGTTTATGATTTGAAAAAATGTTGGAATGATTCGTTCCTGAGCACAGGTGTCACATCCTGGCCCGGGGCGGATCACTTCCTAGGCCCACTCCACCACTATAGCACGATATTGTCCGCTTTGGGCCCCGACTACACCCTCACGGTTTTGTTTTTCGGAACTTACACGAGAACTTCCCGATGGGTCACCCATCCTGAGAATGCTCTCGCGCACTACTCGCTTAACTTCGGAGTTCTCAAAAGGCCTCGTGCTAAGTAGGGATGAGAATATACATTTAAGGATCACTCCCCTGGGCGATGTGGGATGTCATAATTCACCCCCCTTAGGGGCCCGACGTCCTCGTCGGCACACACGCGGCCAGGATTAGGCTCTGATACCAAATTGTCACATCATGGCTCGGGACGGACCACTTCCCGGGCTCACTCCACCACCGTAGCACGATACCTGCTTCTGTCATGCTTAGAAATTCAATGATATCCAGTTTTCAAACGGGCACCTAAGGCTAAGGGAATGAATATTGGCGTAGGTCAATTGCTCACTTGCACCTGAGTTTGAATCCGACTCTCCATAGAAAGGAAATGGCGGTTGTAATTAACATTATCTGTGACAAATTTTATTTTTAAAACGTACATGATCAATATATAATTCTGGCATGTACGTATAAATTAAATAAAATACAGGATTTTCACTACTTTTGAGTCCCAAAAATTCATTAGACACAAAGTGCGCCAATATCCATCGTCAACACTGTTGTTGCACCTCGTCCTCATGGCTTTAGGGTTCTTGTTTTTTGGGATACATTAATTAATGCATAGCTGAATTTTGAAAATGTTTTAAAATTATTGAAATTATTTTCGGTACAAATTGATGCGTTACAAAAGCACTTAGGTACTTTTTGGAACAACACCAAATGCATATTTCTTGTAAGAAGTACTTAAACGTTTTTCTAAGATCCACTTGATTTATACTAAAAATTGGTTTCAAAAATATTTTTATCAAAAACAGTTTCAATCATTTGAAAAACACTTTCAAACAAATCTTTAATCACTCAAAGCGACACTTGAGTGGTTCTTGAGAGGGGCCTCGTGGGGGTTTAAGTGCCGCTTGAGGGCATCGAGGGGGCTCAAGCATTTGTGTTTTAACTTTCACGTACATGGTCCTCGATTTCGACTCGATACTTGATGTCTCTGTCGGATCTTGTGGTAGATTAGCATCTACTTCCACAAACTATAGTAGAAAATGGTGTTTAACATCACCATCTGGCATGTGCGTTTGCGTTTGAGGGTTACGTTGGATTGGGATCACCTCCGGATCCTAGCTTGTGGAACCAATTGATCAGACGATCATCTTGTCGTGTTTTGCATGATTTTTTTTTTTAATTTTTTAATTTTTTATATTTAAATTGATTCTTGGCTACAGAATAAAAAATAGAAGGATGAGATCTTTGGTCAGTTGACTCCGTACAGTGGGATCCAGAGGTGATCTCAATCCGGTTATATCAACATCAAATTCAGACTTTTCTGTGCCATATGCCAAACAAGTTCAAAACAACAAGCCACTCTTACTTGACAATTACTCCCTTAGGCTTGGGGGAAAAAAATACAATTATTTGATGGGTAATGATAGGAAGATATTTGGTTTAAAAATTTAGTTTTCCTAACATTATTTTTACTCGATTATTTGGGCTTGTAAATTAGACATAAATGAAGTTTAATTAATTATTGAATCATTTGATGTTATGAAAAACAAGAGACTAGGATTATACGTTGCTGATGTGGAGCTTAAGTTAGTTACGATATTGTTTCCACTTTTTACCCAACTTCGAGTCATGCTCTTAATAATAAAGAATACACCGCTTTTGTAAAGAGATTTTCTTGTATGTTGGGAACACTAATACACTAAATATAAGTGCAATAACACAATTAGTTAGAAACTTAAAAAAAAATAATATTACATTTGATGTACCGAACCATGTTTCTGTCACTCTAAAAAATTTCTAGCTAGTGTCTTTATTTTAGTAGCACTTGTACCATCTAAGTTGTTTTTGTTCTTCATACTTTGTCTCTCTTTTCTTACACCGTGAATCAAGGACTATGTGGCATGGACGTATAGTTTTTCCCACATGGGAATTAAAAATACAAGATTCCTTTCCACCTATGTAGGATTCTAACAAATGATACCGATTCCCTGAATTTAAATAAAATTCAAATTGAAGTAATATATTATTTTTTATGGATATTCAAATCCCGTCCCGCCGGGATAAAGGTTTTATAATCCGATTTGACCCTTGCAATTAGTCCCGGACAAATATCATCTCGAGCTAAATCCATCTGCTAATCACAGCCACATGTCAGTTCATCACTCTTTATCCGTAATTTTATAGAAAAATTAATGAAAATTTTGAGTTTTAACGATAACGATAAAATAAATAGCGAATTGAATAGTATCAAGATTGACTTTTTTAGAATAAAAATATGATTTTTTTGTTAAAATAAACAGTACCGGAAATTTTTCGTTAAAATTCTTTAATTTTATTGGTTTCCACTGTCCACTCAAATCCCGCTTCTAGTAAATTAGATTAGTTTAGAATAATGGAAAAAAAGCCGAATTACCAAATTCTCAAAAAGTCGTTAAATTTATATCTGGGATATGGGTGTCGAAGGAGTGGAAGAATCGGGAGGCACGGAGGTGCTCCAATCGAAATTCAGGTACAACTCGCCTTTTGTTCAAGTGAGTCTCATCGGATCGGTCTGTTTCTGCTGCCCTGGCATGTTCAATGCACTCTCCGGCATGGGCGGCGGAGGCCAGGTCGATCCGACTGCCTCCAACAACGCCTCCACCGCCCTCTTCACCACCTTCGCCATCTTCGGCATCCTCGGCGGCGGCATCTACAACATCCTCGGCCCCCGCCTTACCCTCCTCTCCGCCTGCTCCACCTACGTCCTCTACGCCGGCTCATTCCTCTACTACAACCACCAGAAGCACCAGGCTTTCGCTATTGTCGCCGGAGCAATCCTCGGAGTCGGCGCCGGCCTCCTCCGGGCAGGCCAAGGTACCATCATGACGTCCTACCCTCCCCCGAATCGAAAGGGGACATACATCTCGATTTTCTGGAGCATTTACAATATGTGTGGCGTCATCGGAGGACTAATTCCGTTTGTTCTTAATTACAACCGGAGCAAAGCGGCTTCCGTCAACGATGCAACTTACATTGGGTTCATGGTTTTCATGTCCATCGGGACTCTTTTATCCCTCGCTATCCTGCCTCCCAGCAAAATTGTCCGGGACGACGGGACTAAATGTACGAACATTCAGTACTCAAACAGTCAAACGTCACAACTGAGGCCATTGAGATTGCCAAGCTGTTTACAAACTGGAAAATGCTTCTTATAATCCCGGCTGCTTGGTCGAGCATTTTTTTCTACACCTACCTATTCAACAACGTCAATAAAGTTATGTTTAATCTGAGGACTAGAGGATTGAACAATGTTTTCTACTGGGGAGCGGAGATTTTTGGGTCCATTGGGATTGGATACGTTATGGATTTCAGCTTCAAAAGCAGGAGGACTAGGGGTTTCGTGGGCATTTCGGTTGTTGGTGTCCTCGGGACTGCAATTTGGATTGGCGGACTTGCCAACCAGCTCAACTACTCTTGAAGCGATTTGCCTGAGAAGTTGGATTTTAAGGACTCCGGCTCTGCTTTTGCAGGACCGTTCGTGTTGTATTTTAGTTTCGGGTTGCTTGATGCCATGTTCCAGAGCATGGTTTTCTGGGTCATTGGAGCCTTGGCTGATAACTCTGAAATTCTAAGCAGGTAACAGGATATTCCTTGCTTCTCAAGTTTTTAATCTCTCAATGATCTTTGTGTGTTTAGGCAATTTTTCGTGCGCAGGACCGGACAATCCAATCCAATCCTGTGCACGAAATGTGGCCTTAGTGACAGTCGCAGAACAAAGTGTGATGCTAAAAACTTATTTAATTTTGTGCATGTTTTGTACAGGTATGCTGGATTCTACAAGGGAATACAGAGTGCAGGGGCAGCAGTAGCTTGGCAAGTAGATACACGCAAGGCATCCTTCCTCTCCCAATTGGTTACGAATTTCGTGCTTTACACCGTGAGTTATCCGCTACTGGTGGTTCTGATCTTGCTGGCCGTGAAGGATGAAGGTAAGGCTGATGTGGAGGAATTTACCAAGGGGAAGGTTGCTGAATTAGCAGATGAAATTAGTCATAAGCCATCCGAATGTTTGTCTTAATTACGTCCATACAATCGAATCTTCACGAATTAGTGTAATGGAAAAGCTAGTGTAATTGATGTACCACGTTCAAATGGTCAAGTATTTTACGGGGTAATCAAAGTTCATGTTTTTATAAAATGTCTGAATGACTAGTTCTTGACCACGATTGTCCATTATATTCATGCATGCTTGGAAGGAATACTGAGAGAGTCTTCTACTCATCCCCTAGCTAGTGATAGAGTCAAACCCTAGCTAGTGATAGAGTCAGATGATATTTGAAATGATTTTTCTATGATCTCTCAAGCCTTAAGCATCTACAAATGCTTGGTTAACAATCCTTCCACCCTTGGATCAACTGGAGACACGCACAGTGATGATGCTTCCTCAGAAGGATCTGATCATGGTGTTTGAATGATCGAGGAAACAACTAAGCAAGATAATGCAAAGGAATCATGGTTTTCGCTTCAGAACCGCAGGAAAGGAGCATAGAGTTTGACTTCTCTCAATTGTTTGCCAATTCAACCAGTTACTGGGTCCTTTCACACCAGATATTTTTCATCGTTAGATGCTTTCGTTGTTTTAGCCGGAAGGTAGGACACGTCCACTTAATATGAGCAGTAGATCAGGTTTCCTTTGGCCCGTTGGATTTTGGAGGCCACCCTACTCGTATTGTGTATTTGCTGGTAGGTGATTGGTTGAGCTGTCTAAATCCTAATTAGTGTTTTTTTATGACATGTTAAAAGCCTTATGGAATTTTAACCACTCGGACACGATAGATTGATCCCTTGAATCCTCACAAAAATCATGAGGAGAGGATCCTTGTTCCTTCCATAAACTATAGTAGAAAATGGTGTAGTGACAAAGTACAGAATCTTGAAACGTGCGTCGTCCCTTTA